AAAAAAAAAATTACGGTTTTCATTTGACTCACCCTCGTATAATATCTTTGCAGATTATCTTACACAAGAAGTATTTTAAGACAACACACAAATCACACTTCACTAAATGCCAACCGCTTAGTAATGAGAGCCTACCCATCGCATTGTTCACTAACTGATATGCCACTTCTGCTATCAGATACTTGATTATTACCAATTTCATTATCACTGCCACTAGATTCTGCTTCTGAAAGATTTTCTTTCAAACATCCCAAAACCGACACAATATCAGCATCATTCATCTCTTTGTTCTGTGCCATACTGCATATGAGGGAAATTACGGCAGTTAAAAGATTTTTAAAATATGTTTAGTCGAATATGTGATTTAATGATCCTTCTATTCAGCACTCAAAGCCTCAAAACAGCACTGACTGTCATGGGTTTGCCATTGTCAATTGCTCTGATTTCCCTATTCCAGTGGACGCATTCTGATTGTTACAAGCTTGTAACTATATGCTTCTATGTTTGGAGTCCAAAATGAGAAGATGACAACAAGGGATGGTTCAAGCACAGTTCAGGCAGTGATTTGTGTTCAGTCAGAAAAGTTCAGGACTGAAGCAGAATGTTGGTACTCATATCCAGTGAATTTGCATCCAGATACATTGTTAACATATAAACATGATGAGCATTGCCTGTAAGGGAATGGACAGATTAACGCAGATGCAATTCTGCGTCTCTAAGTGGTTATCATAAACATTAAACCTGATATTACAAGGGTTGTTAACAAAATATGTTTGTCTTATAGCTCACTAAACTGATGTTTAGACTACAGTACTATGAATACTTGTAAGCTTGTGATATGTAATGCACGTTTAACTGCTTGAAGGAAACATCAGTATTTTTAATTGCACTGATGGTACAGGAATGTGTATATACTCAGAAAATCTGTAAAGAAGAGATTACCTAATAAATTTGGGCAAAGATGGGATAATATTAAAATGATTTTAAGAAACAGGGTTAGAGGATAAAGAATTAATTAATTTTGCTCTGAATAAAGTCCAGTGGTGAGCTCTTATGTTTGTTGTAATGAACTTTAGGGATCCACAAAATGCAAGGGCATTTTATGCCTAGCCAAGCAATTATTAGCTTCTCAAGGACTCTGTTCCATGGAGTTAGTCAGTCAGTGAGAAACCTCTAGCACCAACAGTTTCGATGTTATGCCATGTCCCCACTACACCCTACCTGCTGGCTAGTGGGTCAAAAGTAGCCTTTATTGCTGGCTCCACTACTGTAGCTCTAGCCCTTCCAGGTGGTCTGAAGAAACCCACGTAAGAGAACAGCAGCTGACCTCACTCTCTAGCCCTCACTTTACCACAACTTCAGGAAATATTACCGTTACCAAATTACAAGAAAACTAAGGAAAAGATAATTGCAAATTAAATAATAACAAATTAATACTAAAATAAAAAGAAAAACATAATCCAATCAATTTAGATCAAACATAGCAACTGCATATAATAGTAAAAAAGGGTAACAAACCTGGAGACATACAATATTAGCTGACTGTACATATGACAAGAAGTTTGTACAAAAATACGACATAACACAAGAACAGTAAAATAAATTAAAGCCCCACCTGCAAACTTACAAAAAATTAAAATACATTTGCATGCCCAACTTACTAATTACAGAGAATTATGAAAGGACCCACAACAAGAAATGTACCCACTTTCCTGCCAAGAAATGGGCCTTACAACCACCACCCACACATTAGCCATGCAGATTTCCATTTACCAACAACATATTCCAAACTGAAACTAAGCAGTAATAACCATCTCCACACAAGATTACATCTCAATTCTGCCTCAACTACACAGCTATCATTGGCATAACACCTTGGCTGCCTGTAAAAAAATTATACAATTACTCACCGCTTACTACCTAAATCTCCTCACCTAAACCGTAAATTACACCTTGTACTTGGGATGCGACTGCAACCCCTTTTCTTTAATAAGACAACCACTCACACCACACAGGTCTATAAAGACCAACATTACCGGACAAGCCGACTGTATATTACGCAGATACCAACCATGATCAATATGGTTTCTGTAAGAATTACACCATCTCACAAAGAACAAGAAAAATATCACAGCTTTACCTGTCAGACTTCACAACACATTAACAAACTCTCTGAGAAAGGGGGCCTTGTGCTTACAGATTCTATAAGGGTTAAATGAAACTGTTTTGAACTTGAGCACAATATAAAACATGTTTTTCCCAACCACTTTACACCACATGAAACATGCAGCCACAGGGTTCACACAAGTGAGATCAGAGATGGGAGGGTACAAAGGGATTGGTTAAGACTGATATTGTGACAAGCTCACATCACTAACATGTGGACAGGCTGGAAAGAGGAATGAAGAATAGCCAACTAGGCTTCACGAAGTCCCAGAATTTTTTTCAAATACATTCACTAGATGCACATGATGTCTGCAGCCTCGATTTATGTTAATTGGGTTCGACTCTAGCAAAAGGCATGAGAATTTATCATCACCAACATCTTAATCTCTCGAAAATGGAGTTTACTGCATGAGATATATAACGGACAGGATGTGTTAACTACAAGATGGGGAACAAAAATTACATGTGCATGAAACACTTACACAGCATTTCTTTCTCTGAGCTGATATCCCACAATGTCAAAGTTGTATATGAAGTAGTCGTAAGAAGAAAATCGGCTGTCGGATGAAAACAAACAGTTTCCACCCTTCTCTGCTTGTGAGAGAAAGTACATTCTGCGTTACTCAAACTTTCTTCCAAGCCTTTCTCTGGAATGTGCCACAGTTTCACCTGAAACATGACATACACACTCAACAAAGATTCCCATAAACTTCAATGGTACCAGTCTTGATAATATATGATATAACCACAAGGCTTAATTAGTAACACATTTATTTTAAACAAAGGAAATAAGACTTCTGTCAAAAATTAGATGAGTTATCATTGTCAAACTTCAGATGCTTTACCCTCAAGAAAAGGGCCTTCTAAACATTCTGGTTTACCAGAGCTAGTATGAACATGCTTGTGGCACCAAAAGAAATCACACTTTTGTAGTCTAAGAACTGTAATGATATGCCAAGACATAAATAATTGATAATCACAACATAAATATTATCCAAATTACCAGCACATCACAAGTCAAACCTTCAGCAGAACATGCAAAATTGCTTGTCTGCACTGCAGTCATAATCTGCTGCAGTTTCTCCATGACACACAACTTCCACAATAAAAGAAGACAATTACACAACTATGCTAAGGTGAACTTTGGTGCCATGAGATTTTTTGGAACATTTCAATTTCACGCAATTATGCACCAAGATCAATAATTTAAAATATGGCACGTAAAATAAAATTACTAACAAGACAGTCCTGTGAGCCAGTTGCTAATAAACCATCATGGAAAGGTGAGAAGTCCATGTCTGTCACTGTGTCTGTATGAGCATGAAGAAGTGGCATTGTCTTACTCTTGCGACCACAGTCATCAATTGGAAGCACTGCAAGACTAGAACCTGAAAAATACAGAACATTCACACAAGCATAAACACAACATCAGGTACTTAATACCAAGCCATTATAAAATTGTAGTTTCATAATTAATATCCAAATTCAATGAAGACCACTGTCAAAACTTCTGTAAATCTGTAAATAACGTTAAACCTCACACTATCATAAATGTAAGAGACATTCGTTTTCTCTAATTAAACAAATACAAGTTTCTGCAGAATTTTATCGGGCAGATTTGTTACGTACCATTATGGTCAACATTAAATGCCATAAATGCAGCCGAAGCGGCAATGTTGTTCCCATACGTTTGGTAAGAACCAACAGAAATGTCTCGTATACAAGCTTCTGGCTTCGGAACGACTGGAGCAGCATTCTTGTATTTCGAAGCCTTGAATCGCCACGCCATTCCTAAATTTCTCTTCGTAAAAACAACTCATACAACAAAACACACACTGAAGGTATTTTAAGGGTTGGGTTTAGGCTTACAAAGGGGAAACTCAGGGAGGATACTGCTTTCGACGTTTATAATTCTCATACGAAATCATATAATTGTTCCAAGATGTACAAAATGTTAATTTGATATGAATCTCATTCAACACCAGTATATAACTTTCACTGTTTATGATAAATTAGGCCCTATTCCGCCCACTCTCTATGACTTTCCGTAAACAGCGTCGGATGACAGCTACGAACCGGACAATGTTGCCAATGCACACAGATGAGCAATGCAGACGTCATAAATAAAGTTGTCGTTTTAAATAATGCTTTAAATCTACTTTCATCATGTCTGAGAATCACAGCTTAAAGGAATCCTATTTTATTTTTTCCAATAATCTCATAAACAAAATATCCCACAATGGGATTTTGTAAAAGCATAATATTCATTATTCTGGCACCCTGAAAAAGGATTGTGATGCAGTGTGTTTCAGATGAACCACCCTTAAAGTAATAAAACAATGTGTTGAATATTCAGAATTTTATATTTTTATTTTTCTTGAATTATGCATCTAATTCTAGTCATTTATTCCAGAAATAATTTAATTGTACAGCCAAATTTTTATTGTTATCGAGTGAAGTGCTACCATGTGACATTCGCACAAAAGCGCTGAAGTCCATTGACAACGAATTCGAATTCGTTGACACAGTCAGAGAGTAAACGACTACATCTTCACAGTCGCACCACTTAAGCGGCTCAACTCGAAGCCATTTTTAAATTGTGATCCTCAATAATATTCATCCTACTGCCGTAAAAGTTCTTGGAGAGGAATCGTAGCTGAAATGGTTCGAAGCAATTTTGTGAAGTGTCTGAAAAATAAATTTGCATTCATTTTGGTTAGATATATCCCTTATATTGTGTGAACCTTAAATGAAACAGTATTTAGTTTGCTCACAAATTGATCGTAGTAGAAAACAAAAATCCCAAAGGTGTTCGTTATGACACATACTATTTAACGTTATCTCCTCAAACGTCATTTGGAAGTGGCAGTAAATAACAAATACGACATACCAATATCTGTCACTATTCTTTTCAATGTCTTGTGAAAGTGATGTATTTGCAAATTAACTCATACGTATCCATAGAAATGTAATAATCAATTTTGTAGAGCTCAATACTTCACTTCCTTCAACACCCCTTCTGTCAATATGGCAACATCGCAATACATTAGATTTGGGGTGGGGGGGTTACGCATTTCGCTGCACAGTGACGGACGAATAATTTGTATGATCATTGATAGATGGCAGGATCTGACGGGTGTGACGTCACCCAGTTTATACGACATTGACATATGGCAAAACTGGCGATTACATTTTATATACCTTTGGAGGTGCATCAAAACTGATCTTTGCTATCGAATGGTTAGCACTCATGCTTCGTATTCAGGAAAGTCCTGAGTTCAAATCTGTGCCAAAACACCGTTTTTTATGGCTAAGGCGTATCGTGGGTTTCCTCCAAATACTTGGCATCAATACTGGTGTAAATGCAGCAACGATTAAAATTTACCAATATCTACTTTCAAACACCCCTCCTTTAGGGTCCTTGTCAAATAATTCATCCCTCCCTTTCATCCTTGTTGATGTAAATAAACCATAACTCATTTCACTTCGCCCAAGATGATGCAACAAGTAGACCCCTTCCCATATGTGGCAGTTCTTACACAGATTAATAACCATCTTATATAAGACACAGTCAAATCTGAAAAGAGCACAAACAGAAATTTTTATTTCCTGTGGATGGCATTGTTGGAAATAACAGCCCATTTGACTTGGTCTTTTCATAAAGCTGGATGGGCTATAGAAGCACTTTAAAATTAAATACAAAGTGATCAAAAAGTCACAAACCTATATTAAAATATACATTGAATGGCAATTCAATACAATTTGACTGAGTTAATAAACACACATTATACAAGAGCCCATGCAGATTGTGTTGTGTTGTAACCTGCTCACATCAATTGTCTTAAAACAGCTGAAGTGGAATGATATCTTTCATATAAATGCAATAAGTGTTCATTGTTGAACACCATCTGGTATCATGTTTTTTCTTAACTTGCCAGAATGAATTTTGGGATACAATTCCCAATTCTCCTATGCCAAATAAATCAACAGTATCTCATCTGGTAAAACCATTTTCATGATACAGGAAGCATGCATGTTTTCTGATTTCAATGTAATTTTATTTTGTGACAAAACATGTATCAAGAATGGGTTGCATTACTTTTTAATCATGGTATGTTGCAATAATTTGTCTGCAGACTCAGTATAAAAGGTGCAGTGGCAAAGCTCTTACATAGTGCACACTAGCCTTGCCTTTGGTGACACAGATAATACTTAAAATTTGGTTATGCCATTAAAATATTTGTGTGTGAAACATAATTGATTTGATGGAGTAAGCATTTCTTAACAATATTTAATGTTCCAACTTGTACATATAATTTACATAGTGCCTTTATTGTTTGATTAAAGTCATTTAAAGGAGACATCCCAGTTTTAATTGTACAGATTTACTTAATTAAGGTCTAAGAAAACAAGAAGGAATTGGAACTGTATGGAACACACCAACTTCTGAGACAAATGTCCCTTTTTAGTACATAATAAATCTTCCCAATTTTATTTATAGTACTTATGTTTTCACCCAGCAAATTAACATCATGAACATACATAAACAGAAAAATCTATGTATACATTCATGTCTCACGACCTGACTGCATACCAGATTAATAATGACAAATAATAAATTCTTTAAAAATGAGACGAAGATCAGACATTTGTGAAGGACAGTAAAAAATAAAAATTGCATTTATGAAGAAATTAAGGTCACATTAAATTTGAGGAATGTTTCCTACAACACTGTTCAGAATCACTTTCGTCTTTCCATCTACTATACAAAAACATACTGAACAAAATACACAGAACTATAATTTGATTTGTTTTTTGTACAGATCAGAAACTTGGTCTCTCACATTAAGTAAAAATCATAGACTGATGGTGTTTGAAAACAGTGTGCTGAGGAAAATATTTGGACCTAAGAGGAATAAAGTCACAGGAAGATGGACCGAATTGCATGATGTAGGGCTTCAAGAAGAGATCACACAAGCCAAAATCTGGAAAGTGTGATAACCAGGACCAACCATACCTTAAATGTGCAGGTCATGAAAATAAGAACATGCGGCACTGCATGTTTTGAATGTCTTCTAAACACAAAAATTCCTTGAAACTGACATCCATTCCTTGGAGGAAGGAAGACACTGATATTCAGTATTGACACAACCTTTCAGAAAAACTGTTCCAACAACACAATAAGCCAAAACAGTCATTTCTGGGTGCAAGCTTGTCCTCACTGTCATCTGTAGCTTGAATATGCATATTTAACTTAATTTACACAACCAATAACATAAAACTGGACGTCATCTGTAAAACACACATTCTGCAGAACTGCAGGGTTTTCCTTAAAAAAAAAGGATGCTACAATGGATCATAAAAGTCAACTCTTGTCTTGGCCAACCTATTTGAATTTTTTGAGGAAATAATTCTGAATCTTTTCAAGCATATCTGCATGTTGATAATTCCCCTATGGCAAGTTGTACAGAAAGACGTCAGATGTTCCAAGAATGTGTATCAAGGCATGGTGAACATGTGCAATGTTTTCTGGTGTTGTGACAAACAACACCATTTATACTGTCAACCACGGTACCAATTCATTTCAAACTTATTAACTTATCTGTTTACTGCAGACAGTAGTGTACTTGTCAAAAACCAATAGTAAAATTTGTCCCGCTACGTGCCGTAAAGGTGCTTGGGGTGAGTGGAGGTATAACTCCTCTTTCTTGACCTCAGCACTAGATGGGGGTGAGTGGTCAGCATCACGCCCCGGCCGGCTTTACCCCCGGGAAAGGACCCCGGTACCCATTGTAGAGGAGGCTGGGTGGGCCCCAGAGCCGGTCTGGACGCAGAGGCTAGAGGAAAAATCCTCTGCTCCCGTCGGGGATCGAACCCCGGTCGTCCAGCCCGTAGCTAGTCACTATACTGACTGAGCTATCCCGGCTCATTGTCGAAATCCAATAGAGACACACATTCCATTAATGGTGTGAACAGTGGCATCACAAACACTGCTACTTGCCACATATTTCAATTCAGCAGTGTTTACAGCGTAAACAATAGTTTAAATTATGTGCCAAACTACTTTAGTCAATGGTGGCAGTAAGCATGGAAATCTACGCAACTTGACACCTGTGTAGTACTTTTACCTCCTTTCTTTGTGTGTGCAATGAAGTTCTGTCAAAAGTTTATTTTTTGCACCAAAACCCATGAAACAGACAATATTAAAACTGGAGTGTCTTTTTTAAAGAACCTGTGTATAATGTATGAATTATTTACAAATGTGCCAACATGTGTAAAATATTAGTCTTCTCTCTGAAGAAACTGATTGGGATAGAATCTAAGGCCTTCGATACTTTCATCCCTACAAGCTTTCCCATATTTCTCTGTCGTCATTAAACGCTCCTTCGCTAATAAAACAGAAATACCGAGCATTTGGGCCAATTCTTCTGCAGTGAGGGAGCCTTGATCTTCCAACTGAAACAATATAAATAATAGGTTATCACTAGGCTATTCAGATAATAAATTACTTTTCTTTTTCTGTACTTATCCTGAATTTGCTGCCTGAAGAGAGTGCACTGCCCAAGATTCAGGTGCTCCGTGCTCCAATATAAACCAGATATATCATCACCTGAGCTAACTTTCTCAGTAACTGGGCTTTGGTTCACAAATTCCTATCAGACCTAACTGTATAATGAAGAAATGTTAACGTACTTACCGCAAGAGCTGTATTCTTTACAACATTCACATCACTGTGACTGTGAAGCTGCAAGACTTTGACTCCACTATCAAACTGCCGCAGTCTAAGGGGAAGATTCAATTTCTCCAGCATGTGACAGGCCTGAATAAGGTCTTCAGGTGACAATAGTTCCAATCCTCGAGCACGATTCACTCGGCAATAAACGTCAGTTAACGCCATCATGCCTCCAACATCCTGCACATTATTAATAAAGGGAAAGCAAACTTCCTTAGTTACCAGTAGTTTTCCAAACTATCAACCAAACACATGCAGACTGACTGATTCCAGATTTATTTTATGATCCTTTTGTTTAACCCATTTCAAAGTATTATTCTAGAATTTTCATGGAAGGAATGATGAAAACCACAACAACAACAAATTCAGTAAAACCTTTATCTGAGCTGAGTTTTGAATCAAGGACCTCTTACACATACAGCAGGAGTGCCAGGCATCTTGAGATGATATGAATACAAAATATTCCATCCATAGGAGGTGGGGCTTGAGTACCTCAGTGACCCCAAGAGCTATGTTGGCAGTAGCATAGCTACTGGTAGGGCCTCCCTAGCCAGATTGGTTGAGGGGGAGAGGTCAGACTAAGACAGGTACCCTGGTCCTCCAGGTTGGGGGTTGGTCGCAAGGCTAACAACCTTGCACCGTAAAAAGGAAGATGTTTTGAAACCTCAATCAAAGCCTCGGACAGACAACCTAACAGAAGGCAGCGGAGGATAGGACCGAATGGAAGAGGAGAATTGAGGAGGCCATGGACCGTATACGGACTGGAGAGTCATAGAAGAAGAAGAAGGATTTCTGGTAAATAAATGGTCAAGCTCTCACATGTGGCATATCAAACTTTTTAAGAAAGAATACAAAATTTTATAATTGTTCTGTTGCTTACTATCATTTTGAGTAAATTGAGAAACAGTACACCAAATGTAAAAGCTACATTTTTACAGTTTCGGTAATCACGGGTGGAAATAACCAAAGCGCTGAGTCCTACACTTGGGAAATCTTATTCCAGCCCTATGCTACATTGGGTCAAACAGTTCTGAAAATGGCACAAAAGAAAACTTGAAGGGTTATATGCTATGTTAATGCCAAGAAATGAGACATTACTTTAAAAATCTCAGATATGTAAAAAAAATTACATCAGTAAGCATGAAAATCTTGTAACCACAAATCTATACTTCATTTTCATAATGTAAAACAATTATAGAATTAATGCGTATAACACAAGGTTCATGCTCCGAAGTGATTCATTATAGAAAAAAAACAGCTCTGTAAAGCACGTAGAATGGAGTCAGAGAGGCACATTCGTACTTTACTGATACCACTGCAAAACTTCCTTGAAACAAATTGGGTAGCTTGAACTATTATTTAACTATCCAAGTGAAGATGTCAAAGAATGAAGACGAAGTTAAAAGAAATAAACCTACTTACTTTCCATCTACTGATTAACTCTGTGTGTGTTGGGGGGGGGGAGAAAGTAAAAAGGCTGTACTACAACATCCGAAATTTTTCTGAAAATTGAAATCAATGACTCATAAGCTAAATAACAGAAGAATTATAACAAAATATAGAAGTGACACATTCTAACAACTAGCACCATTCTGAAGTGCAAATGTTAATTTTTATCAGATTAACATTTGGGTTATCACTTAATCTCTTGCCATTTTAGGAATGCAAGTACTGGCATTTGCAGGGTTTAATGTATTTGCTCATTTCTTAGTCTGTCATTACCGTGATTGGCTCTTCTAATATATCAGCCAGTTGTCTTGCAAGTTCTATGTAGTACTTGTTCTCACTGCGAAAATCAGTCCTTGTTACTGGATCATCAATTCCAAGGCTCAACAAATATGACTTGAATCTCACAGTCTCATCCTCTGTTATGTCACCTTGCCTTTCCTGAAACAGATTGAGAAACAAGGTTTTATAGTGAAGAAACCTTATTGAAAAATTCAGAGTTACTCAGCTGGTCATGACATTTCTTGAATTTCTTCTTCTTGTAGCGTTATAACCCTATGTGGGTCTTAGCTTGTTCGACAAGTTTTTTCCATTCTGTCCTATAAATTTCTTGAATTTAAGGAACCAAAATGTTCATTACTATGTTTTCAAAAGTCCATCACTGGCCCATATCTGAATACAAACAACGGTTGTATTTACTCACTAAATTTAAACTGCACCTCTTCTGTAAACTAAGTATGCCACTACAGCACAGAATACTAAGAAATTGTATCTGGTATTTGTATTCAAGCACATTATATTCAAAGGTAAAAATTCATAATGTTATGTAACAAGAATGGTTGGCACAGGTAACTGAATGTATCTGTCCTTACCTTGGGTATAAAATTGTAAATATAATCAAACAAAATACCAGTAGCTAACTCACTCTAATCTTCTGAGAGATATTCTTGGAAAGGTTGACCATATCTTTGGCCATACCCATAAGTTTACTAAGATCCTGAAAAGCTCTTGAGATACTTTCATCTGCTGCTTTCTGTTTCTCCTGAATACCTCTTTCAATGCCAACAATACCAGCTCGTAATTTGACATCTGATGCCTGAAAAAAATAAAGTACATTTCATAGTTGTGTTGAAATATCAGAAATTCCACCATAACATATGTGAAGATTGGGGATATGAGAATATGGACCTCCCAGTATCATAAAGAACACCCAAGATGTCATGCTTCTTAGTATCATGAGAACTGTAAATGATGACAGATTATAAAAATGTAACTGTTACTTTTCCCCACTTAATAGTACCTGCACCTGGTCGTGGTGGTGGGGCTTAGAGTACCTCAGTGACCCCAAGAGCTATGCTGGCGGTAGCATAGCTACTAGTAGGGCCTCCCTAGCCAGATTGGTCGAGGGGGAGAGGTCAGACTAAGACAGGTACCCTGGTCCTCCAGGTTGGGGGTTGGTCGCAAGGCTAACAACCTTGCACCTTAAAAAGGAAGAGGTTTCGAAACCTCGATCAAAGCCTCGGACAGACGGACCTAACAGAGGACCGAACGGAAGAGGAGGATTGAGGAGGCCTTGGACCGAATACGGACCAGAGAGCCATAGAAAAAAAAGACTGTTACTTTACTGGATTTTTCCTTGTTGTATAATGTTTGCACAAAGAGCATAAAATAAGGGCATAACAGGGAGGTCATATTAAATCTATCCATTTCTCAGCTCACCCAAGCATGTTACATACCCTACCCATCTCACCACCTTTTTATTTGATCATCCTACTAACTATGGCAAAGAATACAAACTACTTATCTCATTATGCATTATACAATTAGGACAAATATTCTCCTAAGCACTCTGTTCTCAAACAACACCAATCTGTATCTTTTCTTAATGTGTGACCAGGTTTAACATCCATACAAATCAATAGGTAAAATTATAATTCTGTATATTTTAATTTTTAAATTTTTTTGATAGCAGAAGAGAAGACAAAAAGAACGAACTGCAAGCATTCCCTATATTTAGCCTGCTATTAATTTACTCATTAACATAATTCTAATTTGTTAATATCATTTCCAAATATTTTAACTTTTCCACATTTTCAAAGGATTTGTTAGCCACCTTTATACAGAAAGGTACATAATTAATAACCTGTAGGAAAGTGCAGGAATATTGTACACACTTTTAAAGATCTCTTGGCTGAAATTCTTTAACCAGCTGAATATAGCAAGTCCTGTGCCATGTGTTAAAATTTCTGCAAAATTCTCTCTCTATCAATGAAATTCAGCAATTGTTTGTGAAGTAATTATTCAACATGTGGCTCATATTTGTGTAAATAAAGTATTCCCATAAATATGGCACAATTAGCATTATAAACCATTGAAACTGTTTCTGCCTTGTGTTTACAGATGGCCTGCTCTTCCTAAAGGAATATATGTTTGAGATATGATTTTTGGTAAGAGTAAGGAAATAACTTGTTTGGAAGTTCTATATGCCCTGAGTATGTCTTTCCATTCTTGTTATACCTGAGATGGAGTTGCAGCAGGTGAGAAGTTTTCCCACTTCTTGCTCTGAATTGTCTCATTAATTATCTGCACAAAATTACTGTTCAGACCCTCCTTAAAAGAAAGCTTCATGTAATGGTGGCTGCTCCTGTTTACAGGCCCAGGAATTTTGCCTTAAAAAACAAACAACAACTTCTGTTTGATTACAATTCAAATGTTAGTGTTCTTCAAACCAATTAGTTTAACTCGTGATAAAGAAAAACACTATGCTTCTGAATTTTTTCTACCCACAAACCTGTGACGGAGAACTGTAATTGGAAGAATAAAGTTCAGATTTGGATTACCTCTAAGATTAATTACGGTGAACAGGGAAGAACCGTACTCAGTTATAGATCATGGTCTTCTGGGTTGCACTGTGCAGCAAGTTATGTTGCCTCTGCCCCAAGGTTATAAATGTATGTGAATATAAAATATCAAAACTGCTTCTCTGACCATCCATTTAACACGGCCTCAATTAAATCCTGTGTTTAAAGTGAGGTAAAGTAAAGCTGTTCCACTATGTGCTATTTAGGCGCCCGTTGGGGAACGAAAACCGGTCATCTAATCCGTAGCCAGTCACTATACTGACTGAGCTAACCTGTATTAGGGTCATCTAAATACAAAGAAGAGCGCTAATGACGCGACCGCAATGTCTCTTTCCTGACCTTGAAAGATTAAACAAATTACCATAATCTGTTACATTATACTCTTGAAAATAAAATGAATTTCCTCAGCTTTGGTGATACTGTCAAATGCTAATACAGCACCCATCTATATACCACTTGCCCTAGCATTGTGCTCATGAAAGCCCAGCAACAGGAAAACAAAAAGACTCACTTTTCCATCATCAGTGGTACTCTGACAGGGTGAAACAGTATAAAATATACCCTTTTAACATTTTTCTTTACAAAAATCACAGTCATATTATTAGTGCTCTTACTTCACATGTAGGAAGTCACAGTCTTAAATATAAGCACAGAGACCAGTAGCTATTCTGACTGAGGAGTGTCAATGTTTCCCTCAATCAACATCATTAAACATTTTCTTTAAACTTATTGTCTCATATATTTCACCTGGCAATGCCTGAGAAAGGTGAAGTACAATTTTCTTGCTTCGGCTGAAACCAAACGAAGTGCTTCCCGTTTCTTCTTCCACAAACACAACATAACGAAGAGGTAAGGAGAGACATGTTAGCCCTCTGGGAATATCACCTGGTCGAGCCCACAATAAGCGATGGGACGTCAAGACAACTTCTCCACCTTCAAATGAGGTCTGAAAAACACAAACATATTTACACAAATCCAGTTTAACAATGCGTTACTAGTGATTTCAGCACAAACTTCAGAGACAAATATAAACTGCTGGTATCTGAAAACAAAAATACAAAGGTAAAATGGTAAAGTGATCCACATGCTTAAATACTATGCTAAGAAGTGAAAGAAAACTCCACACATTCTTAACCACACCACCAGGCCTGTCCCACCCCCACCTCCATGCCATGCATCCAGAGCAGGCTCCACTGTCTCAGGCTCCCTACAGTAATGTGTCTTAAAACACTGTAAACAATGCTGAAAAACTTTGTATTTATGACATGTGGGATTATTCAACTGTATGATTAGTTTCAAGATTTAAAAATTGAATTAACATATTTTGCAAATGAACACTAGCTACTCATCCACCCTGGACAACTTGTCACAAAGGCAGAGACATAAAAAAACCAAAAAGACAAATGTGTTTAAGACTGGGTTGATCCTGCGAAGGATGTAGATGAAATGTTATCTCCTATCCCACTCCTACTCTACAGAAGAATTTATCTCAACCAAAAATTCTCAGCTATTATAAACACATGTAAGCAATATTAGGTTTGATTTATTGTGTAATTATTTTTGCAGTAATACTGTACTTGACTGCAAATTACTGTCATAACTATGTAATTTATATTTGTATTAGAAATTAGAGTTTTGAAATGTAGTTTTGAGTTTTGAAATGTGGTGTTGGAGAAGAATAGAGAAGATCAGGTGGACGGATCGAGTGACCAATGAAGAAGTATTGAGGAGAGTCAACGAGCAAAGAAACATTCTGCAGGCGATTACACGAAGGAAAGCTAACTGGCTGGGAAAAATAACAAATACAAATAAGCATTATACTTGTGCCAAGACATGTTCTACATCTTTGGCTTGAGCCTATGAAGGATATATGGAATGTAAATAAATTATAATCTATTCTCAACATTACTGTATCACCCTGTAACTTAATATGGCAGAAGTCACACTCAAAACCAAGAGGAAGCAATTTAAGATCAAAGATGATTCTGAAACATGATGTGCAAGGTGTCACAAATTAAATGTATCTAACACAAGAAGGAAAACAATGATTGCATAATGACATATCTTTATTCCACATAACCTTTCACATTTAATACTTGTTCCTTACCTGTAAAGCCTCGAGACTAGTGTTACATGAATTTATGGTTTATTCAACTATGCCATCAGTAGCTCAAACTATATAGCATGTAATTTTAGGCTAATTAATAATGAACTGAAGAGGATATGGACAGCTACACACTAAAATTTATAATGCATTTTCTAAGACCTGTTATATCAAGAGCCCTTAGCGCTGTAGCTTAGTTAGCTTATATTCAAGTCCGGCACTGATATTACTCTGGAATGAAATGCACTGAAGGCGCTCGTTGAGAACGTGTGGCTAGGAAAGAATTATTTTAAGATACTTTCAACGAAACTTACATTTACAAGAACTTTTGCTGGAAAACCAACCTTTTCGTTTCCGTCATACAGGTTCACGCCTTTCTCGCGAATAAGGAAACTTTCACCGGAACTCAGACGGGCTTCTGCATATTCAAAACGATCCATGCTGTAATTTCAATAAACACAGAATCATTCATAACGTGTCATTCGCACCTATTTCACCAAAATAGTGCCCCATTCATCGCACAGCTGACAAATTCATCACGTGCAATTATCTAACAGTTGCACAGCCTGAAATATGACATGTTAAATCATGCTAGTCTACATTCTTTTAAAATATGCAGATTTCCATATGCTTTAACAATACCGTCACAAACGTTCCACATCATCAATTAACAATTCAAAATAATTTTCTGCTTTTCAATTTCGCAATGTTCACCGAAATTGACAAGCACAGACTTTCATAACGTACACAATCCATATAGAATGCAAATTACGACACCGCACACAGAAGTTGATATCTGGTTAAATATTCTGGTTTAATTAAGTAACATTACGGAACCCAATGTCATACAATACGGGTAAACCGTGTCAATGGTAAAGTTACAAAAAGCGAAAAACTTAATTTCAGCACTAACAAATACAAAAATAGAAGCGATATGTTGTTGTGACACGTTGACAACTACTTACAATGCTAAGTGGCCTCACAACTCGGAACACCTTAATTCACAAATACAAATAATATTTGTTGTTAATAGCCTAGAAAATGTTTACATTATGTACTTCAATAAGCAATTAAGATTAAGAATATGTAGAAACCAAGGACTTCGATTCTCAACGGTACATCGCATTGGTACCTAAAATTAATAATAACGAGTATTGCTAAAAGTAAGGAATAACTGAGACCGCTTACTACCGCCCTCCTTTTTTTTGGCAACTTCTAAAAACAAACTCTTTGTTTCAAATTAAACACTGCCTTTTTGTCGCTTCTTAAAGCCAACTTCTTTTCAGAAAATATGTATTCTACGAAGCATCCATTCTGCAGATTACTCTGTTAGAATGTGAAAAATGGGCATGTATTCAAACCGAAGGAAGTAATTTGTGTTTCAGGATGATGTGCTAAGAAAAATATTTGATTTATAAAGAGATTGAGTGCGCAATAAGAAAGGATTGACAGATTTATTTTGTTCCATTTTCACGTTTAAAATAAATTTAGCTCTAGTCTGCTAGTAATTATCTTCACACTTTTATAACCACATTATTTTCTGTTGTTGGAGTCTGAAAAGTTACTGGTATATCCTACTGTTTTGTACAACTGGAAATTCAAGCACACCGAGTTTCTGTCCAGATATTAGATTCAATGGAGCTGCCAGTGCTCCTCACTATGCACATTTTGCTCCAAACTTTATTGTGATTTGCATTGACTACATTTCGAAGTTCGTTAACGGCGGTTAATTCAACAGAATTTAAAATAATATATTTCCTAAACAAAGTATAATAATTTTATGCAGAGTAAGTTAAAGTAACATGTATAACACTAGATACTTAGCTTTTCATAAGATACAATGTTGATTATGATTGACCAATAACATGTATGAAGTAAGATTTAACCTTCCGTGTTTGTGTATTCAATTTGTATTAGAAATTTGCGTTTTTATGCCAATAGAGACATGCCAGGCGACGATCCAACATTAGAACGACATTTCCGAGGGCATCGAGATACTGTAACGGCCCTTGCATTTAATTCAACTATGACGCAGCTTGCTTCTAGTAGCCTCGATTCAAGTATTATGATTTGGAATATGCGGCAACATATACGGGCATTTAGGTTAGTAGACACATGGTTGTTTGGTTATGTATTATATTTTTAGCCAGGAAAAGGATAATATTAATGTGGTATTGTGTATACTTGCAAGTGAAGTGGAGTATTATTTTATTAAGGCTCATGACATCTCACCATGGAGACCCAGGTTGAATCACAAGTGACTTTAAGTGAGATTCGTAGTAGATGAAGTGGTGTTGGAGGAAGATATTCTCTGAGTTTTTCGGTTTTCCTCTGCTAATCATTCAACCATTGCTCCATTCTCATTTATCATCTCCCTATAAGATGTGTACTAGCCCTGACAAAGGAGCACATCATATTCTTGGCCCTACAATAGCAGCTTCATTTCTGACCCAGCATTTGGCTGATCTTGGAAGAAAAGTCGCTTGGTTCTTTTGTTTAGTTTCTTTAAGTTTAGTTGACCCAACAAACCAATCTGACCTTCTAAATTTCTCACTGAAGCCCAGTATTTATTGTTGTTTTCCATTTAAGAAGCAGAATGGATATATATAGTAGGTACCAACTGCTTTGTTCATTTTTCCAGTATATAACTGACTTCACAATTTCTCTATATGCTCAGTACTTGAAAAACCATTATAAAGTAGTCAACAAAATTTACATTTGATTGAATTAAAAAACACTCACTCTGTGGTGCAGAATATTCTTTGAAAAGTCAATTGTGTACTCAGCTTGTCAAAGAATAGCCAACTTCCATTAATCAGCCCATAGTTTCATCACCATGTTCACAAAAGCCCACCACCAGACTATCCTGGGTTAGCTGTATTCAGTTCAATTCTGTAGGGTTCTAACAATGGTGTGATATAGTCAGGTTTGTTAGGTTTTTGCACTTTGACCATCATCCAAGGTTAAAACATATACGATGGTTTGAAAACTGGACCCATTTTTGTCTTCAGGTGTGTGAGGCAGGGGCACCTACTCTTACTTTACTTATTTTCCTTCCTTCCTCCGTGGCTCTATGGTCCTATGAGGACCTTGGCCTCCCTTTGTTTATAACTATAGTAATCTTTATTTACATTATTACTTTCTTCTTGTACATTTATGTGCTCCTGAAAATGACGTTCACTTTTAGCTTACACATACTTTCTAAAAGTTCTGACAGGACAGACACAGCATCCCCTCAAAGTGTTGTTTCACTAACATAGAAAATGTCAATAGCAGTAATAAAATAAATGAAAAATGCATATATTATCAAATTACAAATCTTGTCACATGTCATTTTGGTCATTATTAATTTATTTTTAAATTAATTTTTGTCTTAAGGATAATGATAATCCTGTTTAGATATGAATCAAAACTAACATTCTGCACTTGAATGTTATAAAGAAAATGTAAATGTAGTTGTAATTTTTGTTGTTTGCTTCTGTAATGTATAGCTTCAAGGCTCACAAGGATGGAGTCATGGATATATGTTTCTCTCCATCTGGGCACTTAGTAGCTTCTGCCTCAAGGGACCGAAGTGTTCGTCTGTGGGTCCCATCAGTTCAGGGAGAGACTGGAGAATTTCGTGCCCACACAGGCACAATTCGATCCGTCCATTTCTCACCAGATGGGAAATGTTTGGTGACAGCATCAGATGATAAAAGTGTCAAGATATGGGATGTTGCCAGGAAGAGGTTCATCTCAGCTCTTCTAGGGCACAACAATTGGGTTCGTTGTGCTCGATTTGCTCCAGATGGGCAACTCATTGTTTCAGCTTCTGATGATAAAACTGTTCGCTTGTACGACCCCAAAAGTTCCCTGTGTGTGCATACATTTCAGGAAATAACAGGTAAACAATTTATTTTGGGGTTTATGAACCATGAACGTGATGTTTGGCACTGCATTTCATCGGCCAGTTTTTTAAATTTGGGAGTGTAGGATGATGTTGCTGCTCACAAACAATCGTCAAGATGGGCGTCAGTAAGTCGAGATATGTGCTTTGATTTTATAATGTTCATGGTTGAACGGCCTTCATTATTCAGTTTAACCTCTTTCCGTAACAACGTGGGCACCAAAAAAAGCCTTGGTGGGCGCCATGGCACCCGTGGACACCGCGTTGGGGACCACTGCCCTACAGAATCATTCTATGTAGTAAAAATCATTTCACAATTTCCATTGAAGGGTTTTTAAGACACATAATTATACATTTGTTAATGCCTAACAAATTAACATATTCTATGTCTGTCACACATGCTGGGCAAGTGTGCTGTTGGTGCGATGCAGAATAAGTTGAAATTAAGTTTTGATGTATATCCATAGTTTCACTGACAAATATTTCTGAATTTTACTGTTCAGGAACAGGCTCTTGAAGTCTTAAAATAATGGTATTTATTGACTGGCTGAGCAATAATGCACGTTTTAAGACAGAGCCTGCACCATGGAGTTAGTTACTGGTATTTATTTATTTTTTTGCTTTCAGTAATCTGTTCTTGAAGGAATCAAATGTAATTGCAGTTGTATAAGGAGAACTTGTGAACTAATTTATATCATTGTATCCTACAGGTAGTGCCGTGAATGTAGAATTTCATCCCAATGGAACATGTATTGGAACAGCAATGACAAACAATGTCGTGAAAGTGTATGATATTCGTGTGAACAAACTGTTGCAGCATTACCATAACCATGATGGTGCTGTCAACAAAATTGCATTTCATCCATATGGAAATTATTTGCTAACAGCATCCAATGATTCCACCATGAAGGTATTAAGATACAATGACATGATTTTATATTTTGGTTTCTTCCAGTTTTCATTAACTGAAACATTCTGTTTTCACCAGCATGGGTTATGTTATGATAAATTCCATTCTATGTCCTATAAGCATTCAAAAATATTTGTACCTTTTTATTTTCTGTGGTTGTTTATTCAGCATAATTTTTTATGATCTGTAAGGACACTAATGTCAGTGTATAACACGTGTATACCAACGTGTCCTTAATGCCAAAATATTTCTTACGGTGCTTGTTTTTAGCTGTTTCTTACATATTCAGATTTTAATATTCTATTAAGACTTATTTCAGACACTAAGCTCAGTGCCTGTCAACTCAGCGTTTACTTTATTTTATTCGCATAGTGTAATTTAAATCAGGAGAGTAAGTAAAGGAATGCCAAAGAAACTTGTTAGGTTAATTAAAATGTGTAAGTGTCAAAGACTCAGTAAAATTTTCTGTTGACAGGTTATGGACCTTTTGGAGGGTCGACCCATTTACACATTGCAAGGACATGAGGGTCCCATAACATGTGTGACATTCTCAGCAAATGGACAGTATTTTGCATCTGGTGGGGCTGATCAGCAGGTCAGAACAAAACTCTTTGAAGAAGCTACAATTGTCCTTAAACGTTTTAATTTTCTTGTGTAACTCAATATGGATATTAATATGAATTTAATTTTGTTTGTTCCCCAACTACCAAGCCAAGAAAATAGGAACTTTCAATAGAAGGTTCCAGTAGCAACTATAAAGGTTGTCATGTTGAAACATTAGATGTGTTTGTCTTTATGATATAGTTTCTGCCAACAAAAATTAGAGCAGAATTTTGTATGTTTTTGTTAGATGAAATCAAATTTATATATTTATAATTTCATTGATATTTCACATTACTGTAAAGAACAGGATTTACAGTGTCTAAAGGGATAAAATATTAATTATGGAATTGTTATGTTGTTCCAACTTCCTTTTGTCAAGAGCTTCTGACAGATATTGTCAATTGTATAAGCCGACAGAATATTTTGACCAGGATATCTTTCGCTACACAGTTGATGTGCTCTCACTGCAGTTCTTCTACATTCACTGTTAATGAGAATTATGTAAAATTTTTCTTCTTTACTGTACATTTTCAGTGAACCACAAGAAATTTATTTTAATGATCTTATGTAACACTAAATAAACTCTGACCAGGAATGTCAATATTACTATGTACTTTGTATATAATGTGGAAAGGGTTAATAACATCTGTTTTAGAAACCCCAAATATGACAGTGTTTCACTGGTTTTCAGTGCACATTATATGTGAATTGTCAAATGTGTACTCTTATTTGAACATAATATACATATTTCTTAATTAATTGTTGTGTTCATGTTTATATGACAGATATTAGTGTGGAAGACAAACTTTGATTGTGAAAATCTTCTGCGAGAATTTCCTCATCAACCACATGAGACCCATTTGAAAGAAGCAAAACATGATTTGAACTCTTCCGTCATATTTCAAGTAGACGCTAGAAAAGTTGTTATGGTCAAGAGCGAGCCGGATATTCATGTAAGTTGGAACTCTAGCATTTAAGTAACACTTAGAAGTGAACAGAACCTTCAAAACACTGATCATGAAATGAGGTGTTTCAGTGAGATTTATGATTTTCATGGTGATGAGTATGAAGATGGCTGTATTCTGGAATGTTGCAACGTGTAGTCAGGTAGAAGTTGGGTATAAATTGACTGGTGTTTCGCAGGTGCTTACTGCCTCCATTTCAGGTGTATTATTTAAACTAGACAACAGGCAGCAGTGGCATTATTGTCAACATAAATTCCTGGACACTATAGTGAACAGTACATTCTGTAGTGAAATTTAAAAGTGTGCATAAATCACAGGAGACTGTGACCTTGGCACCTATGTGTTTTTGAAAAAAGCAAGTTTTCTTATTTTGGATCTGGTCGTATGAGAGGTAAAGAGCTTATGGATCCATGGAATGTAATAAAGATGTATGTAACACAATTTGTGTATTAACAAAACTTCATTACACTGAGATTTTACTGTTGATGAAGCTTAACCTTTATCTTTCTTGTTACACAGTTTTGTTGTGCATTTAAGTGTAATCTTGCTGCATGAAATCATGCTTTAAAATCTGCTGGTTGAGGTGCATGCAGAGTCATTAGTAATAATTAATTAATTACAAATTAAATGTACATACTTTTTTTTTTGTTATCTCCTTTATGCAAGTTTAGTCTTTACCCGTGTACTGTTGCCTTGGGTGTAGTACTCCTCAGAGCACCCCAAAATGCACAAACTAAGAACTGTAAGGAGGGTAAGTGAACACCTTTACACTCCAGCTGCTTTATGCATGGGATACCCTCATTGGGTAGGAAGCTGAATGGGCCCCACGGGTGATCTGGATGTGGCAATGAAGAAAAAGAATCCTGTCCACATCAGGGATTCAACCTCAGTCATTTGGACCATAGTCAGATGACTACAAATTTGTCGCTAAGCAGAGAAAGGAACACTTCAAAACACAGGGTGATCCACTGGTGGAACACACTATTCAAATTAAGTATAATTACATACTACTTTTTAGGAACATTTACAACCAAAAGTTGCAAAAATGCACCTGTTATCTTCCCCATTACTCAGTCTATCCATCTGCTTTACATAATGGCCATAGAATCACTGAACTGATTTTATGAAACTTGATACAGGGGAGTTTTACTAAAACATATCAGCACATTCCAATTTTGATTAATATCAGACAACAATAAAGGTCACTTTGTGTGGTGAATCCCTAATTGTGAAATTTCCTGGCCATTCACAAAGGCAAATGTGCAAGAATTGTTACACTATCTGCACATTCAAAAACTTGTTTCTTCCAGGAATCAGCAATAGAATCAATTGATTTGGAGGAAAGAACAGCTCCAAACCAGATACCTTATTGCAACACAGCTGAAACAGTAGACCTTGTCAGTGAAGAGGATTCTTCTCCTGACAAGTACAGTGATTGTGTCGAAAGGCACTTTAAGGTAGCTGGGAGAGTGAGTAGAATCCCGGAACATTTAGGCCAACCTTCTTCAGCATGTGACACCAAAAATTCATCACCTGCCGACAGCAATGACAAGAGTACCAAGCAAGTTTTGGAAAAGCTTTGCGGTCAAGTTGAAATGTTGAGAAAATCTATTGTTCTCATGGAAGAAAGACTGACATTAATTGAGGATAAGACAAAAGATATAGTCTTGTCTAAAGACCAGTAAAATTGAGAATTGTTTCTTATTGAATTGAGTTTTACAAAAGTCATTTAACGTGGTGTTTCTCAAAAGTACAGCCATATAAAATCTGCTAAAACATTTAGAAAGTTTGTGTATAATAGTTATTCTGTTGGATTTTATTCATTGTATAAATGCTTTTAACCTTTATTGGTAAACTGGCTTATCGCTAAACAATTAATCTTGGTGTTAAAGTCTGGCCAGCAATCCTTTAGTTCAGGGGTTTAAATTCCCATTCCTTTATGATGAAAGTTAAGCCACAGCATTGTGGAAGCTGGTTCTACATTCATCTTCAGGTGACTGTGATGGTCAAGCCAGTCCGAGACCCCGTCTAACTTGATAGGGGGAGAACAGATCAAGCTTTTATCCTCTCCCATGGTCACCTGAAGATGGATGTGGAACCACCGTCTGAAATGTGTTATAAAACTTTGATTTAGAGAGGTGTGATATGTTATCATCAGAGAGGTAATGTAAAATGTTACTATATTCTATTTTCAGTACACTTCTGGTATTCATATTTGTAGGATGTGAGGTTTTCATGGGAGTTAGTCTGAAGATGGCTGTTTTCAAATTTCATACTTGCTGAGTTATTAGTACTGACACTAGATGGCAAAAGGTGTATGTGGATGGTATATTCATGAAATTGTGATGTTACTACATTAATTACTAATGCCTTATTATTTTGGTTTAGAAGAAGTGCTGACTTTGCATTATTAATATTACAGTGTTCAGAAACTATATAATTAATTTAAAATGAATATGTAATTTTACCATCACCCTGTAAGTTATAAAGTTCTAAGTTCTAAAGAAGCCTTATTTAATTTTATATAAACTTTAGTACCTGGAAAATGTTGAAGAAAAATCTTTTTAATAATCTTTCCTCCTTGATTATCTTTCTTTCACCAATGAATCTTATATCCTACAAAATGCATAAGTTGTGAGCAAATATTCAACTCTTTCCATTCTCTGAAGCCACACCCCACGCATCTCTCTCTCTCTATGTGGCTGTCACTTTGTGGTTACACTTTTGTCAGCTAGATATGATTTATATGGAAGCAGTGTATTGCCATGTCAGAGTTGCTGACAATGAGAAAGTGATGTTATTTTTAAAATGATATTTGGGGATAATGAGAAACGTATTTTGGGATGCCACTGAACTCGGAGATTCACTGCCAACACCACATTCTAGAATGTATGTATAACTGAAGCAAGGTTAAAAACTACAAGAGGTTGCAGCATAACTTAGGCATATGTGCTCTAGTAGATTAAAAAAGGATGATGGCATATCATTTTAAATTTATTATAAACAATAAGAATTCGGGAAGTAAAATAGAGGCAAATGGAAATGTTAAAAAATTACAATAAGAATAAAGAATGTACTACACATGCTAGAGGTTCGTGTTGTATCGTTGACAATACAGAATGTTTCACAACTGGTCTGCCAAACAGACCTTAGTATAATAACAACCATTTTTGAACCACCACAGCTCGGGTTTGCACTTAATTAAACAGGCTAAACTCTGTGAATTTTAGGGAGATGCAACACCGAAAATTGACCTTAATTCTTTGAGCTTTTTTAAATTTTAAATTAAATGGACTTCTTGCACCACCATTATTTACATGAAAAACCAATAGCCCACTCTTTTTTTTCCATTTCAGCACGTGACACTGGAATCATATTTCTTATAATACAGTTATAAAAGATAACTTTCCTCCACCTTCTGTCTTCAAACACACAATATAGAAAATTTAATCTGGAACAGCCACTTAGTCTATGAGATACAATGGTCCACATTTCATAAATATGAAAGAAATATATAATACTGTTGAAGAAAGCTAACATAACATAAATATATTTTAAGACTGAAGGTTTACTATAAAGTATTTTGTAAACTTTCTTTTACAAATGTTGCCCAGAAAGTGATTCACCAAATTCTTTCTCAGTAAATATTCACTCAAAAATGTGAAACTTACATATGGTGTATTGTTTGCATATTCTACCTCTTCACACAGACCTTGTTCACTGCCATGGCCTTACACCAACAAGAAGCAAGCCTTGCCTGTAGCAGTCCTTGTCGTGCTTATGTAGGCACGTTCTCACCTGACGAATCACATCAACATCATCGTACATAAACCTTATACCATAGATTGTATCTTTCTGCATTCAAAGCAGATGGAAGTCAGAAGCAAGATAATTGCATTGATGCTTCTTTTGCTTGAAAGCCATCTGCTTGTTTGTGATGTGTTGATTCTTTCAAATGATGACATCAGCATGTTGCAACATTGCAGGAATGACAGCTGTTGCAAAGCAGACTGAGCTTGGCTTCTCCTTGTTATACTGTCACTCATTTAGACTAGCAACTAATGGTGCTTATGTCAAATGCACAGCTTCCATAGACATTCTTAGTTGAATGTGAATGTTTCCCAATGCTCTCTGACATGAGAAAGTCAGTCACAGATCTTTGTTTGAAACACACCTCACTGACAGATGCCATTTCAGTGACTCATAGCTTTCCGACTTGGAATCTAAATGTGGCACATTTATATCTTTTACTGAATTCCACGATTGTAACATACATTTTGTCGCCCTCGGTGGACTAGTGGTTAGCATGCTCACCACTGGACCCAAGGTTCGAGGGTTCAAACCCGGCTGAGGTCGATGGATTTTTAAGGGTGATAAAAATCCATAGCACAAATTCCTTCGGAGGGGAAGTCAAGCCGGCAGTCCCATGTCGCAGATTTACGGCATGTAAAAGAACCTTATGAGCGTGGAACAAGATGTTTCGTAAGTAAAATTCAGTGGCCATTTCTCACCCTACTCTCCTGATTCACTGCTATATGGCTCTGGCAGTCAAATCAGTAGTGAGTAGAAATTGTGCAGAGGCAGTGGGCTTGTCACTCACTACTCATAGATGCATACTTCAAAGACAGAAACCTCCCACATGGGAGGAGGCCAACAGAACAGAAAACACACATTTTAAATGAGGAACAAAACTTTCTGGACAACCTTCTTACATAATTTATGTAATACTTTTGGAAATTTCTTTAAAGAAGACATTAAAATTGGGTCTTGTGGGTAGCAACAGTGGCAGAGATCAATCAGAGGAGTGCGACACAACCTCTTGCAGTCCAGGACTCCCATCTGAAAACACATGAATGAAACATGCAGATGTTCCATCAGAGATCAAAAGGAACTGTGCTCAGGGTCAATCTTGTGATGGAGACTTTTGTTGATGTACCCATTGAAGTTGTTACTGCCATCACTTGGGTTAACTGAAGGAACAAACAAGAAATCTGTGCTCTCAGCTGTAATTATGGGTGTGGTCATGGTGGTCTTTTCACAGCTTGATGAGGAGCGGTGCACAGAGGATACAGTTTCAGCCCAGATTTCATCTGACCTCAGCAGCAATTTAAGGCTCTGAAACAGAAAGTCCCATACATGTCAAATTAATCTCTGCACCATGATAGTTACTTCCAGTGCACTAACAAAGGCACACACAAATAATATTACTTCATCACTGACCTAAGAATGAAGAAAGTAAAGCTAAAGATGAAGATTGCTGTCTTCTGGGTTGTTGCACCGTGTAGTCTGGTAGACGTTTACCAACGTTTTAGAGGTCCTTGATGCCTCCATCATCAGGGTGATTTCATTGCAACAACCCAGAAGACAGCAATCTTCAGATTCACTGCCAAGAAAACCTCAAATCGTACAAAGCTAAATATTTTCAATTTCCCCTCCTTCCCATAATTAACTAGCTCCATGGAACAGTGTTCATCTTCTAAGTAGGTAGGCAATCAACACAACTTCAGAACTTCCCTTTTCTCGTTGTCAATAAACATAGCTTGGGCCAGATACATTTCACAGCATTCCACATCAAACTTATTAAAATGACAATGCAAAAATAAAGTACACCTTGTCATAGGCCATTAACAGCATACTTTCACTTCAAGGCTTCATGCTAGCCATCAATGTAGGCTGTCACTGGAAGGAAAAAATGTCTCGCAGCTGCTGAAATACTGCATTAAGCAGCCAACATGTTAATTCCTGTATTTATTTCATGAAATTCCAAACCTAGGGACTGGGAGTCCACAGCACATGAAGATCCCACTCTGATCCAAGCTATCATATAAAAGAATGCAATACAGTATAAGCTAACAATATTTAATTTTTAAATTGTAAAGAATGGAAATTTACCTTCTGTCTACAACACAAGTGTCTTTCATTCCTACAAACTCTGTACATAGAGATAATAAAAATTAAAAAGTATATAAATTATTATGATGCGCAAGACAGCAGCAATTTTGTAAGGGTCAAAATGTTAATTAAATCTAGAACCAAATATGTTTCTTTCTTAGATTGAAAATACCAATTTAGGCTTCCATGTTAAGTCATACTGTGTTGTACAATTTTAGACAGAATTATATTTGGTAACTAAAAATGGACCATGAATATAAATTTTTTATCTAGATCAGAATTACAGACAGACAAATGCATGGAAACAGTGAAGCTCACAAAATAAGCAGCACCTAAAAATGGTCAAGTACCTGAATCAGATTCTGTTTACGAGAAAACTGCAGGAACCTGAGAATTGCACCAAGAGGCAATAAAGCAGTTGGCAGTGCTGAGACCAACCAGCCCACTGCCTTTGCCCAACCAGGATAAGGGGTTTGGCCATCAGGAGGGCTGGCTGTGTGGTACAAACTGGAGAACAAGAGGACCTGCAGAATGTAACATGTCATTAATAAAATGCACTCTCTTCAGTAGAGGAAAGATGAGAAATACTTCCAGGAAAAGGCAATAATATTTTAATGGTAAAATGTCCTAGTCTGAACTGACTAAACCTGAATGGTATAAAAACAATAAGTTTTGAAAATAACTCAAAACACCAGCATTCCTTCAAACACTTCAATCTACATTCTGATGCTAGCAGGAACTATAATATAAAACTTAGCATCATTCATATTATGTTCAATTTGACAGATACAACCTCAAAGGCTCACAGGTCATCATGTTTGTACTTGGTAACTTATAGAATTGTTTCAAGCAAAATGTATAGATTTATAGGCATCCTTATGGTCTATTACCACACCAAATTTCAAATTTATAAGTTACGTATGAATGGAGAGACAACAGTGGTCTATTAGTTATTACCATCAAACAGAAAGCTAAACACAGAATTCACACTGCCCATGTAGAAAGAAAAATAAAGACAAAGTACGAGTAGCAAGCAGAGATAACTTTATAGCAGGGCAGATGGCCTGAGTGGGAGGGTTCTGTCAAATGTCTTCGCAGAAAAATACATACAGCTGCAATGAAAGTGAAAAGAAAATCGTGGCACACTTAGATGGCACTGGCAGAACACCAATGTGCCGTGGAACATCAGTTGCGCATCACTGTGCATACATTATTCAAATATATTTCTTTTGTATTTTACATGATTTGTTGCTGTTACAAACGATATTGTTGCAAGTTAATCATAGAACGGATATCACACTGAAGAGAACCAGAAATTAATTTTCCTCATATTTTATTAAATATTTATCAAACTGAAAAATATTTCAAATAAAATTTTCAGCTTTTAATGAGGTCTATTTTCATGTCAAGTTAATTTCTTATAAGATTAGCCAGCCATATTTTAGAAACGTGATAATTTTGGGCTTCATGTAAAGTAGTGGTTATAATATGCATCAAAATTAAATTTTCCCAACAATTTACAGTGTTGGCCCCAATGTAATATTATTATTAAGTGTTCTGTCTTACGACAGGTCCATTGCTCTGCCCAAACAGAGCTCTCCAGTTGTCCCTATTCTCGGCTTCTCGGTTTAATTCCTGGAACGTCATCTTCTTTCCTTGTTTAAGGTCGTCGGTTAGCTGTATCAATCTTCTTCCTAGTCCTCTCTTTCCTTCAACCTGGCCTTCGGTGATATCACTCATTAATCCATTCCTTCTCATAATATGTCCCAGCCAGTTAGCTTTCCTTCGTGTAATCGCCTGCAGAATGTTTCTTTGCTCGTTGACTCTCCTCAATACTTCTTCGTTGGTCACTCGATCCGTCCACCTGATCTTCTCTATTCTTCTCCAACACCACATTTCAAAACTCTCCAGGTATTTCTGTTCCTTCTTCCTGAGTGTCCAAGTCTCTGCTCCATACAGCGCGACAATGTAATATTTCATAAAAATCCGTGGCAGACATACAGATGGACAAACAGACAGGACTTTTACATCATGTGTTCATTGTACGCAAGATGTGCATAGAATATATACTAACAGTTAATAAAGAAAACTAAGGCAAGAACTAAAGAGCAGTATTTGTGACTTACCACTAGGAATACAGGAACAATCGTCGTGAATAATACAGTCAAATGCGTCATTGTGGTTTCTTGTAGCTTGATGTTGCTGATGCAGCAGAGATCAGAAATGTACTTCTTCTGTCCATAGCAGCAGCTGATAGCGAGGGTCACGCACAACATGTGTAAGATGAGCGGCCAGCTAACAGAGTAGTATGAAAGCAGCAGTTGCATGTGGAATCCAGCCTAATTAAAAACCAAGAAAGACATGGGATGAACAGCCTCACAGGGCATCTTGTTAGAAATTTATTAAATAGCTATGAATTACTGGCATTGACTGTATTTTATGGAAATACTAAAAATACATGAAAACAGTATTATTATTATTAAGCAAGCTTTGAAGCTTTTGTGGCACATAAATTCAGCTGATCACCTGAGAGGATTGTTGTCTGAAAAAAGAGAATGAGTACTCATTGCCCTGATGATGGAGGCAGCAAGAACCTCTGAAACGTCAGTAAACTTCTACCAGACTACAGGGAGCAACAACCCAGAAGACAGCCATCTTCAAATTTCTATGTATACACAATTTTCATTAAAGTATGTAGCTATTTTAAATATGACAATGTATGTTTTGAAAGTAATTGCAAATGACTCAGAAAACTATTTGGCCATCATTTAACAGAGGATTGCTGTACTAACTACAGTAGTGTCATCATGCAGGCAGTCAGGAATCTCTGTGGTCAGATTTCATACACATATGTATACTGCAATTACAATATTATATTTGACAAAGTAAAAATTCATGAAGGACTTTGTTTTAATAACATCTTAATTCAACAGTTGAAATTATTCTGATGACTGGAAATGGCCCACCCCTGCTTAGTTGCCAGTGGAAAAAATATTAATCATAACATTTTATAGGAAATAAGATTGGATATGTGAACTGCACATTTTGAAACAGTTTCTCGTGTCCTAAAACACATATGAAAACGTTTTGAAAATGAATTTCAACAACAGGACTTCTTTGGCATGGGTAGGCCAGAATAAAATATTTAATTTAAAAAGAGTGTCAACTCTATGAGGAGAGAGAAATATATTACATCACAGTATTTTAAACCTCTCTTACATGGCATACTAAAATATATTTCAATATATCATGTACTATTATATTATGTCTACATAAATTATGTTCATAATATTGTTCATACTTCATGCTCTTTGCAATATGAATTACAGTTTACAGGAAAATTTAACATTGAAAAAATATTTCAGAAAGAAGTAAGGAATTATGAAAGTGACAAAATATTAAGATTACAAATAGCTATTCTGAAAAAGTAAAGTATATACCAAACATAAATAAATATGGTAAATACTGAGCCAGCAACAATTTGACACATCACAGACGAATGTGACAAAACAGGGCTCATTGCTGTTAATCCACTTTATATTATGTTTTTAACTGTGTAAAACTGCATATTTATTCTAAGAGTTGTTGCACGGTAGTTGATGAATATTAACACCCTTTGTGCCCTAAAACTATGCCTGATTAAGAGAATAAATAAAAGACCAAATAACAACTTTTACTCTGGTTTTATCTGGTAGCCGCATTCTTATGCTCAAGAGCCGGGATAGCTCAGTAAGTACGTGGCCAGACATGTATCATCAAAATTCTCACAACTAGCAATTTGATTTCTTTGGCAATATACAGCATATCGCCTATCACATGTTGCCTGTTGCTTCTGCCTAAAACAGATGTTGCTGCTTTGCATTGTTATTTGATATTTTTATGATATTTAAATTATGACATTACAAGGGTTGTCATCAAACATTTTCATCTTATGTTTCACTAAATGGCCATTCTGACTAAACTACTATACACACATGTATCTTGTGGTATTTAATGCATATTTAACAGACTGTTTTAAATAAATGATGTGTTAAACCGAAGGGAATGTCTTTTTTAATATGATCTACTGAAATTTCAATGGGGATAGGTTTTATTATGTTGTACAGGAATTTCACTACACCAATATTTGTTAGTTTCAGGAGAACGCATTAGTAGAACATAAACAATGTTTTCATTATACTGGTGTTTTAGTACATATATTTATTTTTCCAGTCTATACACAAAACTTGTTTTAAAATAATGTTGTTAAAATTATTTATAACATTTACAATATAAATTGCATTATGTTATATTTTATGGCGCTTTTCTGTGTCGTATAATATTACATTTATCACAGCGCTTTTGATTTCGACGACATGTTTCGATGTTTACCACATCATCATCAGGCTTATCAATTCATATATTTTTAAAAACTATTGTACATTTGTGCATTGCGTTTATTGATTTTTAATTTTCAGTCTTCATCTTGATTTGGAGTATGCATTTTGATGTTCATTATCAGGTTGTATTGTGATGTGTCGGACGTCTGATATCCACAGACGATAAACTGCAAAATATATGAATTGATAAGCCTGATGATGATGTGGTAAACATCGAAACATGTCGTCGAAATCAAAAGCGCTGTGATAGATGTAATATTATACGACACAGAAAAGCGCCATAAAATATAACATAATGCAATTTATATTGTAAATGTTATAAATAATTTTAACAACATTATTTAAAACAAGTTTTGTGTATAGACTGGAAAAATAAATATATGTATTGATATAACACAAACATGACGCAATTAAGATATAAAATGGTGTTTTAGTGTTCATTATATAGTACGAAACTGTAATCTTGTGATTTGCAAGGAATGCAGGAAGTCCGAAGCGTTAAAGGCTGACGCTATCTTTCCTCCTTCATCCTTCACCCCACTTCCTCACCCTGCAAGTCTCAAGATTACAGTCTTACACTGTACCAAGATTTTACAGCCTTTAATGACTGCATCATGTGTCTTTCCCTGTATACATGATCACAGTGCAATTGTCATGTTTCTTAGTTCCACTGGCAAAAATGCCAGATATTCTCACTATTCCTTACAGATGAATTACGAAACAGAACAAAGGTCATATTACCTGTGAAGTGAGTGGCACCCCAATTAGAAACAGGGCAATACACACGCAAATTGTGATTGGTCCTCTCCTATGGTGAAG